CGTGATTTGTATTATTGTCTATGGATAGCCCTTCAACTAAGAAACCACTGAGTTCATACACCGAGGGATGCCCTACCTGAGGATGTAGCCTGTTCGGCTAACCTCATGAAAATCCCATCAGGGAATTTTACTAGGTATATCCCTTGGTAGTCAGCGAAACAACCGATTATGTTGTTTGACAATGAACTTCACCACAACATCATTTGGAACCTTTTTTATGAGATAACTCTGATGAATAACGTACCACAATCTCGCTAATACGGGCCCAAATTAATTCACAGGCGGTCTTGGCCCTACTAATTTTGTTCAAAATAATCAAGGGCGAGCGACTCATTCAAATCTCAGTTGAATCTCTCGCATACATAAAACTAATGCATTCAGCACCACTGACTGTCTGAATAACTACTGAGATCGTTACAGGAACCAGACGGGGTAATGTGTCATATTGAGGAAGCACGTCGCATGCCCACCGTACTTGTGCCATGTTAGCTGAACAAACTTCGGTTCACCAAATAGAAGAAAACCAGTGAAAGGACATTCACATTCATGCTATTCGAGCGAAGATAGTGAACAATGACTGGGTACTTTTAATCCTTTAAGTGAAGCAAATCTATACTGAAAAGCATTGTACATTTGATCCATCCTTTTAGGAATCACCAGCAGTACACGTTTCATGAGGTTCCAGGGGAGTTTCGAACCCGCAACCTCCTGGATGATATTTTGAACCGTTTGGAAACGGATCAGCAGCGTTTTTCTTTATTTCCCTAAAGTTGTAATTTATTCCACTAAAGATGAACTATTAAAGATAAACGAGAAACGATCGAAAGAGTGAAAGCCCACTGATAACCCTACCATCGGAAATGCACTTCAAGTCACGACCTCATTCGGGATGTGTTAACAAAACTTCGAAAGTGTTGTTCCTCTCTAAAGCAGTATATTTAATTCATTTCTTTCAGATATCGTGTTTTTGAAAACTTTCATTATGCAATGTGTCTGTCCAGTCTACACCCCAGGTCACAACGAGATTATGTTATAACACAATGTGCATACAATAAAATTTCCGTTATGTATTCGCAAACTAGTGCACTTGTGAACTGCAGCGAGCACATCAACCATGAAAAACATTTTAGACGTCATCCGATACACAGTGAAAGAAGAAAAAGGTGGAAAATAGGCATTCTTCGATGTTTTCATCACCAGAATAACAAATGTACAGCTACGAATCCAAGTTTATAGGGAGATGACGCATACTGAACAAATTATCAGGTACCACATCAACCATCTAAAATGCCACAAGCAAGCTGCATTCATAGACTATAGCAGGACTGAGACCCACTATAGCGCCAAGAAGTCCAAACCCTCACTTTTTGAGGAACCGGTTGGCTGATGAATCCCAATAAAAGGATTCCTCAAAAAACCCACTCCGACCAACTCAGCAGCACCAAGGGTGGGCCTACAGATCATGCTCCAACACGTCAGACACCTGACTGAAATGGATTCAATACAGCTCAAGAGTGACCGAAAAACTTGCAAAACCTTTGGAACAGCCCTGTTAAAATTAATAAGGGAATGAAATTCAGTGATTGGAACCAGTGTCGTATAATGATTTCATCAAGCGCTACGTAGCACACGCAGTAACAGATATTTCTGTCAGAATGTATGAAGACAAACGTTCAGCAAAAAACCTGGAAAATTTTGACCGGTCTCCTAGCAGGAAGACAAGGAGGGACAAAAATCCACTCGGACCATCTTCTGCATAATGGACGAAGCTTGAACAAAGAAAGAATATGAAATCATAGACGCGTGATAGATTATTCATCAAAGCCACCAGCAAGCCAACCACCAAGGGCCATAGAAATCCAGAACAAAAAAAACGCGAAAATACACAAGAAACTGGAGTAGACAGGTATACAATAAACAGGCAGATTGGTTCGTCCAATGGAACAGACATCCAGGCAATAAATCAAAAGAGTGAATAGTACTCACAACGGTGAACAATTAAACGTGCAAGTTCATCAGACCAATCCACCAAAAAGCAAAAACATCGTCCAGTTCAAGGAGGACAAAAAAACAAGTGCAGTCCGCCAGTCAAATAAAACAAGATGAGACAGCAACATCAACAGACAATGAATTAACCAACTCCCAAAAAGCGCTGAAAGTGAGGCTTGCCATGGCAACCAATAGAATTCAGGCAGAAAAGACCGTAACGCAACACGAATCGGGAAACTACCAAACAAAATAGCAACCAAGGCCTCCAGAAAGAACCAGACGAATGAGGAAAACGCGGAACGCAGTGCAACATAACTTGCAAACGGATCATTAACTAAGGTCCAAATATTTGCTAGTCGATTGCTAAGCATGGTGAAAAGATCAACAACCACCCAAAGATTTACAAGAGACTTGGTTTAGTTAAACAATTTTACAAGTAAACGGTTCAGTAATCACTTCCATGCCTAATTCACATGTATGTGACTGTGCTTGAGGAGAGTCGACCTAATGAACGAAGCCGAGGAATCTTAGACGAAACGGCGCTATACCGAGAAAAATATTTCCTAGGTCCTGGGATGGGACAAATTATTTTCCACTGATAAAACACGTCTTTCGCTTTCCAGCTAACTGACAGGAGTCTTAGCAAGAGACATCATTCAGCCGACGCAAACTGAAAAGTTGATGACATACTGTTCACCACTTTTGATTCGGCAAACATCCGAACGGTACTGATTGTTTTGTGACCTGATTGTTTAGTCAACCTCGAAAACCATGGCGTCCTTTAAGAGGTTAACTAAAGAACATAAACGCACTTACGCTGGCTAGATAATCAAATGCACATAAACGCTTGATGCATAACCCCAGTTCTGGATAAGA